TGGCCTAGCCACATTGGAAGAGCTTATGTTTCGAGAACTGCTGCTAAATAAAAAGATTTCAAAAGGAAAACGACTCGTTAACCTGCCACAAATAAAGGAATGGTTACGAAAAAAAAAACTGCCTCTAATCGTTACACAGAACTCCAAAAAATGTCATGGTCCTTTACCAACCTTTGATCAACTGAGGGCTTTTTGGGTTGCGTTCGATCAAGATCAATATTGGTTTTCTTTCCTTCTGCAATGTCTTGCGCTGCTTTCATTAGCGTGCTGAATTGTTTAGGATACAATTAGATTGATTCAGAAATAGTCCAGGATTTGAGACATACCTGAAATCCACCGCTGGCGCAAGTTTTGGTTTCTTCACTTCTGGTACTGGTGGTGGTTTTTGCTTTGTATTTTCGCGAGGAGGTGAAAAGCTATCGCGACTGAAATGATGTGAAAAGCCTTAATAAAAAATGTGTTCAAGAATATTCCAAGTAATTCAGCTAAACACCAAATATATAAGCTGCAAAAAATTCACAGGAATTTTATCAGTTGTGGTCTAAATTTAAACCAGAGCGCTGCTTCAGAGGCCTTCTCCATGATCGTCGCACGACGCGAAGGGCGATCGTTGATTACACATATATTAACAACATTGGCCACCATTTATAAAGTTTTCATAATCGTGCGCTTTACTAACACAGTAGATACTAACCTACATGCGAGGTTCCAAAAAGAGGAGAAAGGGAGCTTACAAAGTAATGAGGTTTATGAAAGTGAACGTTCTCCAATATAAAATTATAATTTTAAAATTATTTCTGATGATCTTAATTAGACGTTTGACGAACAGAGCACTTACCTAGCCTGATGACGGCTCGACAGTCCCATGAGACTATTAGATTTACTCGTGGCAATTCGATGTGGTTCTCTGTTACTTATGGCACCAGAAGCTCTCATCTGCAAAAGGAAAAGCAGCCAGCTCCATCTTAGACGAAAACAAACGGAAATCAAAGAGCGCGAAACACAAGGAGAAATTTCTTTACCACATTAGAAAAACCGACTTTTTCATCGATTTTCCTCTTCTGTGCAAGAGCCTTGTACACTCCATTCCTGTACTTGTCCGCAAGTTGTTCACATTCTTCCTGGAATTTCTCGACTAAGTCACCCACAAACTAAGATGACAGATCAGTGAGAACTTGCCTCCTCGCGCCATTGCTGTTTTTGGAGGCGCTCCACGTGTTCGTGATCATGCCCGTATTTTATCTGCAGATCCAATGCATTCATTCCAAAAGTTTTAGCAATTCGCTTTGTCGCCTGAAAGCGTCTAAATCTAGAGCCTCATAAGGTCTTTATAAAAAGGCACAGGATGCAAACTTTCTAATAGGCCCAACTTCTACAAACTTGGTGAATTCGAGAAAAAAAAA